GAATACTACACCAAGCTCCAAATGCTTGCGTAAACATGGCACTAGAATAAGGATGGTATTGGCAACACTCAGGCTTTCAAGGGGAGGATGTGCCAGTTCCTGGGCTTTCACCCACATCTGGGGCAGTCATCTTTGATACGCACACCCTCCCAACCCTGACTTGTCAAGTTGAGACTCACCTCCCCAAAATGCATGTAGATGTACTCTCGCGCCCGCTGGTGCAGTTCGGTGCAGCCAATTTGCTCAGCAAAGTTGGCAATGCCAATGGCATTGCTGGGGTCCAGTTGCTGCACCAGGAAGTCACAACAGGCTTTGACCACACTGTCAATCTGGTACATGACAGCCCCGTTCATGACATGGATCACACAGTGCTCGCCCACAGAGATGGAGGCGGTGTAGGCAAACTCAATGAGGCGCTCCATGACTTTGGGGTGGATGCCCTCAATGGAAACTACCTCCATGCCCTGCTCCCGGAGACCATTTGTGAACATGGCCTTGAAGACAGGGCTGGAGGAGGCCAACACCACCTTGTGGGCCTGGAAGTCAGCCGGGGGAGTGTCTTTGTACTTGACCCGCAAGGTGACATCACAAAGCTGCTGGCTCAGGCGCAGTTGGTTCATGATGCCAAAGGCCTGCTTGGTGTGGTCCTCTAGCGTGTAGCTGAAGGTGCGGTTGCCATCGTGTGAGGGAGTCACCTCCGCCTTGCACTCTGGGGCGTACATCACAAAAGAGGCCCCACACTCATTGCACAAAGGAAGAGAGGGGATGAAAAGCAAGCAAGGAGCTGGAAGAACCAAGCTAGGCTGGAGGGCTGACTGCACAGCTCTGACGCACGACAAAAACTCCACACCTACAGATGAGACAGAGAAGCAAGAAATCTAGTTAGGACAATTTTGTGGGGGGAAACATTTCACTTTCAAGCCATGGTGCTGCTGTTGCCAATCCTGCCTTGAGTGGCTAGCCCCTACTTCCCATCCATTGGATTTATAACACTATGTAACAAAGTTTGAAAAAAATCTGTTCCTGGTTTGAAAGTGTTTTTTCCTGTTTAATTGTGTGGCTCTTACTATGAAAGTAATTGTTATACTCCAGAACCTTCATTTAAGGAGGTATATATGTTATTATCATTTCTGGACTGTATTGTAGGGCTTGGCCTCATGTAAGCCACC